TCAAACCGCTGCGGTTCAACGATGAAATTCTACTGGCGCATTGATTTTTCATTCAGATATACAAACTGAAACTAAATCGATTACATTATGCAGCAAAGCGATTTAAACCCTTCTTCTTAAGGTTGTAAAAGGGATTAAAAACGTTTTATCACTAGGTAATCAGTAGTGTATTCAAAGTCACTCTTTGAATTTGGAAATAAGTTCAGCTATAACAAATATTGTTTTTAATTAAAATATAATGGCATTCTGAGTACCACGATCACACGGTCGATAGTTTGGTTTGAAAGTGTGCTAAGACTGCTTTCCGATCAATTTATCTCAGAATTTAAACCTGCTGATTGGTTGGCAAATAAATTAAATATCAACCTGATAAGATTTCACCAAATTCTCATAAACGTAAGTGACTGTCAATGGATTTTTGTTTGCTTTATCTTTCATACTCATGGGTTTCCTCGTATACTCTCGTTCCAAAAAACCCCTGAGTGTGATCAAGCAAAAGGCACTCTTGAGAAACTTTTTAAAGTACTTTGAAAAGAAACTGTCAACTTTCTGCTGATTTACGATGCATTCACATATGATGTAGCAGAAGGTCCATAAATGCGACCCAAATGTTCCGACATTACTACCGATTCAAAACGGAATCACTCGGGTATATTCATTTTTAGGTTCCGGCTAATCTGGGGACGGTCGGTATCCGTCTTTGAAAAACTCATTTGTGTGCAGAAAAAGCAACTGGTGTAATTCCTCAAGTGTCAATTTTTGGATCACCAACACGTGACCGGTCTAATAACACCCGAATAGGTGATAACTTGTCGGCGGTAAATATAAGTATTGATCGAACTCATGCGCTGGACCTTGGAGTTAGAAGTCGAAACCCAAATCCCTAAGTACGAGTTTGACGGTTAAAAACATGAGAAAATGGCTACATCATTAAATATGTTGTCCTCTGGGTTATCCCATTCGAGTACCGGTAGAGACATAATGCATAAACACTGCTAACAAATCCCTTTAAGGACGAAACAGCTGTCCAGTGCTCTTTGTTGGTCATAACAGCCGATCCATGTATTTAACATGTGAGGAATCAGCGGGCTCAAGTGTAAACAGCAATGCCTGATGTGTGTTCACTTCGGATCGGGTAAACCAAAACCCCGAATTTCGGCCTCCATTGACTCGTGACTTTGAAAATCGTCAACATTATTATCGTTATGATTTTTACTACTAAAACGATAGCTAGTAGTCAAGCAGACCTGAGAGAACATTACAACTGCATTGCACCACGGACGTTAAAAATTTATCAGTTATCTATCTTTTAGTTCTGCTTTTATGGGCCAGTCATGACGTAAGAAATGGGAGCGGTTCAGTGAATTGCAGGAAAGAACACCTATACGATGTATTATTATAAACAACACATGTCCAACGATTGTCGTCAATCACCGTTGTCACATGTTACCGACACATGCATGCATTCAGTACGTGAGAGTAACACGGTAACATGTATCCGATTACGTAAATGTCGTGGTTGTTATGTATCCGGAAACGATCGAAACGTTTTGCGCTCTACAATAGGTGATTTACTGCATCCCCCTGTGTGAATTTCGGCATATTACGTTATCCAAAAACATCTAAGGGTCAGGACTATTTTTGTCGTAAACGGGGTAAAGAAAATGTAGATTGCAACCGTGGAAAACACTGTTTCAACCCTTTTGGGTATCACCAGGATTAAAAGCTTATTCTCCATGGAAAAAATGAAGCAGTCTGATCCAATCCCCGGTGATCTCAGGGCTAGAATTCTCGTGTTCCATTTCCCTTGTTGGTGTGATCAAACACCATGACAGCAGTTGCACGCTGCTTTTGAGCTTTCCATTTTGCGTTATCTTTCATTCCTGTTGGATAAAACGTATCCAGAAAATCAAACTAAATCCTCGAGTACTCCAGTGTAGCATCCTAATTAGTTGATTAGCATTTTTGGACGTAATATATGAGTGGCATCTTAAAAGATATTGACAACTCACAACATCCGGGCAAAATGAAGAAACAGCCGTTTACAGCTCCCCTTTCCCATCTCAAGTGCTCCTGTTGTTGTAAATCGGTTACTTCAACCAAAGTAATGTGACCCTCGATTATGAGGCTACTTCAAGAAACGGTGTTAACTCGGGTGACAACATGAGGGACTCACAAACCTTACAAGTCCGGGTTCCGATCAGCAAAAGTTAACGGTTCCGGTCAAGAACCAAACAACTGCACGCAGCTTCCAAAGATTTTTAGTTCTATGAATGGTATGGAGATATGATAGGATAAGTCATTTTCTGACCAATCAAACTCCTCCCCAGAGGAAGAACTAGACAGATGGGACGGAGGGTTTTTTTAGAATGGATGCCAAAACTTTAGAGCAAAACATACTTCGCGGTAGCTCACACCGACGAAGGGGCTCGTCTTTGGGAGCCCTAACCGGAGCCTTTGACTCAAAAGTCTGACCCACAAGGCGGGAGTGTGACCGAAGCATCCGTGTGGGGACCTCTACAGACCTGTCATGCAAGGCTTACTGCTTGAGTACAGTTCAATTGAGAGAAAGATTTAGGAAATCAATTGTAACTGGTTATCCGACCTATTCGAGCAATGTATATATGCTATATTAACAAACGCGAGAGATTAAACTACTTTTCCAACTGTCCCACTTGTTATTGAGATCACTGCTTAATGAGATCCCAGTTTAGGATAGCTTCTAAATCATTTCGTGAACCGCGCTAAAGTAGAATGATAAATGTGACTTTAGAAAGGGATATCGGTGATTAGGACAAGATATAATCGATGTTGGCGAGTTTCGCCGAGGCATTGCTTCAAACTGTAGGAAGAAGAATCGTATTGAGTGATCGCTTCGCGTCATCAGAGGCGAATAAGTCAAGTAATCCATTTCCAAGTTCTGACGACGCCTACGGAATATTTAGCAGTTGACCCCTTTTTCCAAATGTTTCTTCCCCTGTTCAGAGGACAAATCAAATATCTCCTCAAAAAGAGGTCCGCTCAAGAACACGTTATAATATTCTGGTCCCGATGACGTAAAGAAGCACGACTTTTCCGGTAACTATCATTCAACCATAAATGTGATTTGGCCAACACAAATGATTCTCCATCATTACTATCCGTTCGTTGTTCATGCCATCTTACATTGATCGACTTGGGTCAACAAAGGAAACGGGATTGTTCCATGCTTTGCCAGACAATGGTTATCCCATCACATTCATTCACAAGTACAGCAAGCCGATCAACGCCAAGCCTATTTCCCTATTGGCTAAGACGAAAGACGTCTATATGAAACTGCCTTTCAAGGGATATGGTGTGACAACAAGGATATGTCGTCGTTTAACGCACGCCGTGGAAAGGACGTTCATTGCCGCAAGACTAATGATTGTCTGCGGGACGTTTTGGTGTCTCACAAGCCCTAATCTAGATCGAGAAGACGTTAGTGTTACTACAACTGTATCTACTCATTTTAATTTACCCTCGACCAGCGGTACATCGGAAGGACAGAACGTCATTTATCAACCAGAATGTGTCAACATATTCCGAAACACCTTGGTCTTCGGAGAGGGAAACTACCATCTTGTGCGATTGGACGTCGCTTGTTAGATTCCGGTCACCATGTAGACGCACCCAAAGCGTTTCGAGTCATTGCGAGGCCTCAAAGTTCACGGAATTTGGGATTCTTAGAAGTGATACTTATTTATCACTTGAAACTGCAATTACGTGTTTAAAAAACATTTGTGACGCAACTTTTGTTGCCGTGGTAGCGATGATACCACACTCGATACCACCCTACCATGGTATGACCTTCCCTACGCCTCCCTCCACCACATTCACCACATCGTTCTGACCAGTTCACATCGATATCGCATTTTATCATTTTACTTCATCCCAACCAAACACAAATCACGCAACTCACCTGTACACCACCTTGGTCAAATGACTCATTTCAAATATTATGTTTCTTCGTTTCACATGATCATATAAATGTGCGTTTACAGTGACTGAGAGCACGCGAAATTGATTTCCAATATCAATTGTGCCCACATAGGTCTTTTTGTGTTGATGAAATGGATAAGGGGAAAAGGATGTTTTCAAAAGATTATTTAAGCTTTCCTTATCCATGTATCACAACCGCATTTGCTGGATCTCAAGTGAGGAAGATCGACCATCTGCACAGTCAGGAAAGAGGGGCAGTTACATCACTGAATGGCCGAACACATCTCGGTGTAGATTAGGAAAGCGATAGACAGCAAGTTTCAAGCCGGCACGTCATCGAATGAGCAGAAAAGATTCTGATCTTCGACAACACAACACTTATTCGAAACAAACGAAAACATTGTGTCACTCCACACCACGCAATTCCGGTCATCTACAACACAATAAACACAAAGTTACTGAAATTTGCCGAGGCCCCAGCCGTTCATACTCTCCAACCCTATCTGTGCAAACAAAATGAATGGTTAGTCACATTAGCTATGCCTTGGTGATTAAACCCTAACCTTTTGTTTTTCTGTGTTGTTGTGTCGTGTTCTCCGTTGTGATTAGCAATCGCAGTTATTATCTCACTGACGATAAAAAGTCACTTTGACTGCAATGTGCACGTGTACAGATGCAGTGAAATGACCATATGGATACATTGTGCAAACCAATATCCCCGATTTCTCCATCCAACATGTTTAGACGTTAGAAAGTGCCGACAAATCAGTATGAACGGAATATTTTATATTTCTAATATTTACTCTACAGCATCTCGGCAATCAACTTACTTTGCACTAAACGTGAACATACAATTATATTCGTCTGTTGTTTGACTATGTCAAAGCTCTTCAGTTTAGCCTAAATAAAACAGAATAACATCGGTGTCACATTTTCGGAATCGTCCTCCCACCTCAATTGAGCATGTCACTTTTCACACAACACAGAAACTTGATCGATCGATCGATCAACAAATAGGGTGTAGACAAACATCAACTCACTTTGATCCACAGTCAACAGACGGAATGGGTCACAGACAAATGTGGTCGGATGATCATAGTTCCCCTTAAGTGGCAAACATTGATCCTTCGAATCGATCACATTCGGATAATTTTGAACCTGGTGTGTGAATTCCGGCGGGTATTCGGCTTGAATCACGTGACCGAATAACCCGATCCATGTGATCAAAAGAAGAAATGAGAAACAGAGACTCGACATCCGTGAAATGCGGGCACGGATGAGGAAAGATGAAGTCAGAAAATTGAACCGAAGTTGGTGGTGATCACGCGCACACGAGAGTTTAGAAAATGATGCGAATTAGCTTGGTCACTCGACTGTGAAACATTTTATAGACTTGAAATTACCAACTGTAACAGCCCGAGTACTGAACACATAGTGGATCGGCCCTATTTTGTTTACCAAATGTTCCATTTGTTTATACGAATATGTTCACCCCAAATGTCCCACACCTTCAGCTGGTCAACAATCGCACTCTATGTGTATGCGTGCATACACACAAGAATATTTTTCGTGATGTCTGTGGAGGATAGATATAAATATACGAACTGAAGACACATGTACGTCCATCCGTAGTGTTTCAGATGCAATTCTGTGACGTCCACACACAGACACAGAGAGAGAGGGTCTTACACCGTCCGGTCACTAGCTGAATGTTGAGAAGTAGGAATGCAAACGGGGTTGTGTTTGTGCCTGCATGCGTGTTTTATTACACATGGCCAAATGTGTCGTCAATTTACGGTTAGTTAACAAACCAATGGATCACACCCTACCACGGTATTTTAGAATGATGATGACGATGATGATCTAAATGACAAGTTTTTGGTGGATTAATTCCATGAATGGTTGATTGACTGGTCGATTGAGTGATTGATTGGATGATTGGTTTGAGGAACGAACTGACCGAGAGTTGGACAATCCATACAGACTACAGGATCCACGTTTCCACTCAGCGTATGCTTACTGATCAACGGCTTCGGGAAGACGGCCTTGTTAATTGATACTCCACAAGTTCTTTTGTATTGCTCGTCTCCACAGTTCACAAGCCGCTTTATGTGAAAACAATTATGCGGTTAACTGGAGCCATCCATTCCCGTTGTCTGTTTCTCAATGGAGCTTGAATGGGGTGCTTTGCGAAATCTGTGCCACATTAGTTTTGCATCGATTTTAGACATGAATGGAATGTTTAGTCTTAAAACAAAAGTATGTGACTGTTCTTAATGAAGCATTTCACGCTCTCTCTCTTACACACGTACAACCCTCAGCTAAGCTAAGCTAACCATGTTAGACTTCACACAGAAACAAAATATTTACACATATTTACTTAAAAATGAAAAGCATTGTGTTGTTATTTTCGGATAGTTTTCACTGAATTTACAGCTACTGAATTTAGGTCTTTTGGAGTAGACATTTGAGGGTGCATACGCCGTTCCGTTAATGTCATGCGTTCTTCAGGTTTGCCGAGAATTGTTGAATACAGCGGTCGAAGAAGAATCTTAAACCGTTCAAATAGTGATGTTCTACCTGTATGCCTGCTGACCGTAATTGGGTCAAAACGATTTACACACATTTTAAATATAAATCAATAAATAATTGGGTCTGCCAATAATGGAGAAATCGATGCAGGTCGACCGGTCACGTGCCATCTGATGCGAGTGAACTTCGGCAGAATTTGAGTTCTCACTCCAAATAAAAATAAATGTTATTATTAATAATAATAATTTCTTAATGGGTATTCTCAGACTGAATAAAGCAAGATTTTATTTTGTATTACTTCTAGTCCTTCGGGATTAGAAACATCCGATTGATATTTGCACCCGTGATTGGATTTTCCCCAAGTGCGACCGAATTCATTTTTCTCCCCAGAGCGACATAAGATTTTGTGATTAGACTTATCACTACTCCCATATATGTGACCACTATTGTGGGATAAGTAACACCGGTAGCTGTTCCCCACTACAGGTACGAATCTGCAATTCACGCAGTTCACTGCACACAAGCACACGACCAGATTCCAATTTCATTCTCACCATAACTAATCAAGTTGTATTTCGTCAACTATTTATATAACGATGCTTTTTACATACCAAGTTTCATTCAACCCGTGGTGTTTGCTTCTCTAGAGCTAGTAATTCTGTTTTCTGATCGTTTACTCAATAAGGTAAACAATGGTGGCCTCAGTCACCTTTAAATTTGTTGGTTTCCTCAAATCTCCAACTGCACATACATTTCGATAGCATCACGGAAACTGTGTTGTTATTTGGAGACAAATTCAGTAGAAACGCTTTTATTTTCAGCCACAGCCTCAATTCCATTGTTCGGTTTATGCAATAGTGTGTGTGTGTATTGGTGTGCCAAATTCAAACTCGACATTGGCACGAGCTGCAACAAAACGGCATGACGTACCTATCCGTTCTGTGGTGTGTGTGTGTTAATGGTACTCGGAACCCGAAAACAGGGCTGGCGCGAGCGCTTGGCGGAATCATTCGATCCGTTTTAGATCGAGGGTGCGATTACCGGTATGCTGTATTATAATATAACTAGGAAGGCGTAACGACCATTTATGCACGATAGTAACCTCCGGATCGTTGTGTGGGGTCACCAGTTTGATACAGTCCATCGGCCGCAGCATTTGTATGGTGTGGTATCCCTGCCGTCTGCCAGTCTGGCCATACATTAAGACGGCCTGATCCATCTGGAACCACACGGTAGACCCGTGTGCGTGCGTGTGTTCGCTCGCGCGCTTGGGCACATGTCGAGAACACGAGATCACAAGGTTTTGTGCCTGCGTGAATGTGTCTGCTTGTCGATCGATCGATCGATCGGTTCGCACAGCTGATGAGACCCAACCAGGTCGAAACAGCTGTCCAGTGCTTCCTAGCTTTTCGGTTCACGCCTAAAGTTGCCACAAACAGGACGAATTTAGCCATTAAAATTCAATCAAATCCTCCATTGCTCACATGAAAAATAAGTGATCTTTGAGCTACAACCGATTGTCAGAACTGGGGTGAGTTTGTGCCGTCAGAGGCTCAGTAGGCCATGATCTGAGTTGAACACCAAACGTCCCGGGATTGACTACAATTAGTGAATTCCGAGACTGATACGGATTGATGTGTGGCCGACACAGTTTCATCAATTCTACCACACGAATTTTCCCTCCCCCCTGGAGATGAGAAATTGATACGATATTCTATAAGAGAAAATCAAGCGCAGATTATCTGGACGGATAATATTTGCTCAGCCCGTTTATGCGAAGAGGACATTCAGAAAATAGCACACGACAAATTGTTAGCACACATCTTTCAACCAGAATAATGGTGTCTATCGCCTCTGAATTATTATACTGAAGGAGTTAGATGGGTAATGTTTGTTATGTGGAAGGAATCCATCGTTAAATGTTTCCAGAGGTCTTCTTTACCGTATACAGCAGTATGATATTTAACGTGAAAGAAATGGAGTATTTGTTTGATATAAATGATGAATTTCGTCGTGTAAAGAGTAAAAACAGACAATCTGAGGAGTGACAAACTACTATATAGTTACTTCGACCCGGTTAGGTTTCATCAGTATAATGCGCGAATCCATCAACCCAATTGGGGAGCGAACCCAGAAAGTCACATGCAGAACGCAAGCATACTACCCCAGGACAATAGGCAGATCATCAGACCGCTTTTCAATTTCCATTCACACCGTACTGCACAACACAACTTTGGGAGCCTAATGCAGGCATCGCACCTCACTCATATCACTCATACCAGCCTCCAGGGTTTTGACTCGCTTGGAAACACTGAGGTCATTCAATTATTTGGGAAGTTTACACACTGAACTGCCACGAATCCCGTGATAGGGTTGCAAAGCTTTAGAGCACTACTCCGGGGGAATTCTCCATTACGTATTAGCATTTGTATTTGAAAAGGTACCTTGTTCATCATTGTCCAAGTCGCTCCAATCTGTGTAATATTTGTGTGTGATAAGCGATAACTCAGTCCGGAACTGCACTGGTGGATATCGAACACACTTTACTTCTTTCGTGTTTTGCACGTCCCTTTCGAATCTCGTTGCAAAGCCTCACGTGGCCCACCACCTGCGAGCTCATAGATCATTTTCTATGACCAAACGACCGGGTATCTGTCTGGCACCTATCGCGTCTGGTGTTAGTTATCTGATCCGCCTGTACTTCGACTTCCGACCAGATATCGCATCCTTTCAGGTCACTCGAGCGTAGAAATTTAAATTTTGACTCAGACACGTACGACATATCAACTGGACTTGCCAGCAATTCAGTTTTGAAGGAAGGATGTTGCATATGAAGGGTAAAGCTTGACCCGGTAGTAGCCACTTGACGTTTTTCATATGCACCCAGTCACCAGGCGGATGATCAGACTGTTCTTCCCTTTCCGAATCCGCCTCCTGGTTTCCCAGTGGGTAGTATTATTTCGTTCGGCCTGTATGGTCTCGGGTCCCATCCCCAGTTAGTTTGATTGATTCACACAGCTTTCTAGTGTTTCCTAAGTTTTCAATTCACGCTTATATTGCACTTTACACGACGAAATCCATCACGTATTTCAATTCTGCCGATTGAAATTGCTCGATATTCACACTCGAATTAATAGATGCCATTCGATTTAACTGGTAGGGGAGGCATCGTTTGGTCGACAGTTTTGATTTACGTGTTATAGGTCAGAACCAGGATAATACAGTTAATCCTTAAACGGATTGGAGTCTACCGAAACCAATTAAGTAACAAACAAACATCGTTATCATAGTCCCATGGTGTTTCCAGTTTCATATGAAGTTTCTGAATTAAATTATTCAGGCTTTTTCTGTTTGAGAATTAAGTCCAATCAGTAGTAGCTGGATCTATGTGATTCTTAAACTTGGGCTAATTCATCCCCGTGCTCATCTAGACGTTTAGACCTTCAAATGAATCCAACGAATCGCACTCTAGTGAGAAACCCACAAATTGATTAATGATTCAACCATCACACTTCACTGATTGGACCGGGTTTATCAAAATCCTATCCGGTCGGAATGAATAGATTTTAACATAAACAAACAAAACCTATTATTCAAAGAAACTTCGAGTTCCAAATTCTTCGTGAATTCTTCCCTTGAGACAACTGTTCCTCACGAAATAGAAATAGGCCCAGCTGCTACAATTCTGAAGGTGGAAGAAAACTATCTTCACCGGATTTTGCTAT